ATACTTCTAGATGCACAAATAAAAGAATATAATACAAAAGTATCCATAAGACAGAACACATATGACGAAGAACATAGTAATGTAGATACAACACCTACTGCACCACAGATACCAACTCTACCACAAAATCATCCATTATCATTAGTTCCCCGAAATTTTCGAAACCTAGCAATCACCAATAATCCAAATTTTAGACCAAATACAACACAAAGTCCCATACAACACATAATGACACATCATTCACAAAATGATAATACATATGAACAAATAATCGAACAACCTCATACCACCACTTTTCAATCTCAAAATAATCATTTTTTTAGCCCACGATGAGCCGAAAAATTGGATCCCTCCATCGCTCAAATTCCCACCCAGCCAACCTCCGAACTCAAATCCCAGTTATCCCACTTTTTGTTTTCCCGCCACCCGATTCTCCAATTACTGAAATACCATCAAGTATGAATTCTGATACTAACTCAGATATTTCAATTTTTCATACTATCTCACAATTTAACAACTCCAATGTAGAAACTCCCGACGAATTCGCAGACTCCGAACCGTCTCCCTCTACCCATACCCAGACCAACTCCTCGGTTTTTTCAAAACCCCCCTTTCAACCCATCCAAACCAGTCATCCACTCCCATCCTTTTCCACTCCTTCTTACGCTTCCCAAGTAACCCCAACCTACTCTCCATTTAATTCCGACAGATCACATAATAACTCCCCAGATCACATTCAAATTTCCGAAGAACTTGACAATTCTATTACACTACAACAACAATTAACACACCCCCACACTCTTACAATACATCAACTATCATCAACAGTAACATCATCAATCCCCCAACTCCCTCACCCTCTTCAGCTTACACTCCATCATTAGCTCAACATCCACCGAAACATCTATCAGCACTAACCGAGCTTACCGCACTTTTAAACGAAAATCCCCAAATCACCCATTTCCAACCAAACCCGGAACAGCCAGAGAATATATCAACCACCCAGAACAAACAAACACAAAAAATTTTCTTGAAATCACCCTACCCTCATTTCCACAATAAGCTTTAAATACTTCTACCATTGCTAACGAAACACGAAATTTTGTTGATGAGCACGTTTTAATTCCAACACTTCATTGGACAGCTTACTACAATTATACTAACCCCTTTATCTACCACTAGCTAACAATAATGAAAATATCGAGAAAAACAAAAATATACTATATAGACTCACCACATCATTAACACCTCGACACTTTACCTACGTTGGATATAAAAATTTATTAAAAACATTCACCGCACCCCGAGATAACGATTTCTCAATAGAATACTACGATCATAACATTATCTGTCCTAACCAAGATCAATTTTTAGACGAAGATCGCTTTGCAAACCCGCAACTAACCGAAATTTTTTTTATTAAAACACCATACTTATTTACATCTAATATTTTTGATAAAAAGCATGATCATCTAATTTCAGAAGAACTGGTTGACATACAAGCATATGAAAGCTTCTATGATAAATTTCAGTTATTTTCACTAACCTTTCATTTTCTTTCAACACAGGAACGCGAGTTGCACTCTTCCCACGATATAATGTTACGCACTAAACAAACGCACACTTACACATATTACCGTTTTATACAAAACCATTCTGATTTACACACACCATCAAGACAACCCTACCATCGTTTTCAGTTTGTTAACTCAAAATACACGTCAGCATTTTTTCTTAATTTTACATATTGCATTAAAAACACTAACCACCACGGCATCCTCCGCAACTATGACCCAGTTACCCAAATGTATATATTCTGTCCCATCACGAAGACCTTCAATGATGAAGAATCAAGACCCTTCATTATCCCGCATGAATTCATACAACCTATCGAAATACCCATACTAGAGTTTATTCATAACACTAAATATAATCATAAAAATTATAACCTAATTCAAAACACACCTTATGAATTCGCAGTAGGCACAGAAGAACTAAATACCATCAAAGCACTTCAATTGCTTTGGCCACTGCTACAAACTAAAAATGTCATACGCATACTAGCCAAGTTACTAACAGCATCAGACTTAATTCACGACATCTTCCCACATGACTTTTTCCCAGATGAATAAGGTAAAATATGAATTAAAATAATTTTAACTAATAAATTTAAAACTGTACTAACCATTTTCTATCAATGTTTAGTTTATTCGTTTAGTCTTCACACCACAATCATCTACAAAACAGAAAAAAGACAAATAAAAATGCAATCTTGTTAAATTATATTAAAACTCCTTAATTTTTCGCACTAAATAATGTAGTAATTTCATTTATAAATTATTTCCCCACGAAGCAGTAAAATTAAATACGATGAAAATTTATGATTTTAAACTTCCCCAAAAAGCAGTAAAATTCAATTTCAAATGCAATAAATTCATAAAATGAGAAAGCAGTACTAACCTTTTCAATATTTTTATTCATTCGCACAAAAATTCTATCCAAACTCGCACAGCTCGCCCACGAAGAATTGTTTAAATAACGATTTTATGTTTCAAGATTTCACTAACAACAATTCTAACAACCGATAACAAGTTTCAAACTTTTCTTTAACCCGGTTGGAAACGAATTATATACTAAACCAAACTAACCAACGCAGCTTACTGAACACCACAAATCATAAAACAACAGCATGACTGAGAAAAGAAAACCAACGGTACCCAAACCGGATTAACCCAGCTTAAAATTGAATAATTTATTCTTTTGGAGACTATTATAAAGTCTAAGAAAGAAATAACAAAACACAAAAAAGTCGCAAGACAAACCCAAACCAAAAACAATTTGATTTTTGAAAAAAGGACACAACCAAAGTAACATAAGAAAGACCAGAAAAAAAACAACATAAAATAATATCACATAAAAAGACCTCTCAAAGAAACAGCATGAAATCATACTCCCATTCCTGGTCTAACCCACCAGAGAAGGACGTCCTGAGCATGCTTATAGCCCGCCTAACCCACCGCGCTACACCCACGCTTTGTGACCACACTTCAATTTTTAATAAGAGGTACTCGAGAGTGAGTAACTCTTCAAAAAAACTGAACATAAAAAAAACGCTTTTGTGAAAACAACTAATTAAGATCATGACTAAAAACTAAATTAACAAAAACTTATAAAAATGTAATTCATAATATGCAGTATATAGATCATCCACAACAACAAAGACGAATATCTAAAGACTAGACGATCCCATCACACTCAAACAAGAGAATGGCTAAACACAACCGACATGCCGTCCACAATCACGACTCAAAGGATTTAGAGTACGACTTGACTTCGCAGGAAAGGACTTCATTGAACTAGACCAATGACCACCTCGATGTTCAAGTATACGTAGGATCCGAGTTACAAGGCATCCCTTCCAAACACGATTTTCACGCCATTCTCAGAAGAGGCTGCACACAAAACAGTTCTCTACTAATACAGAAAAATCTGACATAGCAAACTATTTTGAAATCAGATTGATTTCATTGGGGATCACAGTCGTTGTCGAATGACATAATAACAACTTCCTATCCCTGATTCCAGCGTTCTGGAACGTTCTTCTTCAAAAGGAACCGGATAAGAAAATGATGTTCGCCAAATACCAACGTTCATCATCCATCCTTCAATTACAGAAAAAAAGATAGTTCTAAAAACTCTGTAAACCCCGGATGGGTGGAACCTGATCTAAACTACATTTTATTATTGGAAAAAATAGATATTTTACCACTGTAAAATATTTAATAGTAACCAATCATGTTCCATCTAACTTACAAACCACTTATTTGTAAGTGCTGAAATTACTTGTAATTTCAGCACCAGAGAGATTTGAATTTAACTTAGAAATTAGTTACCTCTCCAGAGAACTTCAGCAATCGCAACAAGCCAGTATACTCTAGATCTATTGAGCCTAGCAGAGACTAGTTAAACACCCTGAGAGTAGTAGATATAAGAGTAGGACTAGGATCGGTATTAGACTAAGAAGTTGCACAAATCTATCCGGCCGAAAATAAGATAGCGTGACGAGCAGACGGTGTACCCTATCCGAAATTACTCTATGAGTTAACCTCAAGGACCTAACTCATGACCCACAATTTTTTCAAAGGCGCCTTTGTACTCTTTTGTTCTATTTTGAGATCTATATTTTTGTCTGACTGAGCCTACAATTTTTTTAAAGGTGCCTTTGGTACCAAATTATACTAAATTGAGGAGAAGCGCGCGCCGAAAAAAAAAACAATTTTTTGGTCCAAATTTTTCAAAAAGTGCTTTGAAACGCCTTTTTTGTTTTTTTTTTCAAATCCGTTTTTTTTTTCAAATTTTTTTGAAAATCCGCCCATCTCGAGAAAGTCCTAGCCTCCCCCCCTCCTGTATCCGCCTAAGTATTTTGTTTCCGAGCTACACCAAAAACTCTTTTACGGAAAGTTTTGATGGAAAAAATAGCTATTTTTGCTACTGATTACTCATTTTTAAGGCATCAAATTTTTTGGTGTAGCTCGACCAATTAGTTTGAAAAAATTTGTACATGGATAAACTTTCAGCCCGTTGAATCCACCACAAAATTTTGGTACCATTAACCTCTTAATTACTCAAATAAACTAGGAGTTTTAGGAAAGTTATTTTGAAAGATTTTGTAAAACGGAAATCAAAATACCGAATTTTTAAAACTTTGGCCAGCTAATTATAAATCTCACAAGATTGTTTCAGACCTACATGAATGAAACCTTGCAAAAAAATTTCAGGCTAATTTTTTGGCTGGGTGTGGTGTTCCATTTAATGTTGATTAATTTCCTAGCCATTGTTAGCTGGTACAATATGTTTTTGTTCAGGCATTTTCTTCGTGGCGCCAACCTTCATGTATTAAGCTATAATCATTAAACGAAGCTTGATCATTAAAAGTCTGTGATACCTAAATTTGCACACTAAAACGTAAAAGTAAAGAGCTCAAAAGGTTGAATAAACTATAGATAACTAATCTACCATGTTAAACATATCTGTTTCTGGTTGGGTTTAACTTGATATTTAAGTTCCACAGCTACAGCTTCGAATTTTTGCAGTTTTCTTCGTTATAAAAGTTATATAAAATAAATATCCTATTCTAGCTTAAAAAATGTCAAATTTGGAACCAATCGGATGTTTAACCATTGACACATCAGTCGGAAAAATTACTGGTGATGTTTTGGAGTTACCGAATGGCAAACAAGTAGCCAGATTTCTAGGAATTCCATTCGCCAAGCAACCTGTAGGCGATCTTAGATTCGAACCCTTGCAACTTTTAGACGGTAAAATAGATACCGATGAAGGTCCCTTCATTGCCATCAAAAAAGGACCTTCTGCTTTTCAAGCTCAAGATAGCTATCTAGCGACACCTTTTCCTATGTCCGAAGAATGTATACATATGGGTATTTGGGTACCTCTGAACGGCGAAATCCAAAATGAGCCTGGAAAGATTCTGGACCAAAAACTGCCAGTGATGTTTAATATCCACGGAGGTGCTTTTGTACTTGGAAGCGGAGATGAAGCCTGTTATGACATGACTCATTTTGCAGCTAATCATAACGCCATTGGAGTTAGTTTTAACTACAGGCTGAATTTTTTCGGGTTCATTAGTATTCCGGGGGCTATCGCGGAAAACCTGGGGTTGCTGGATCAGTTGTTTGCCCTGAAGTGGACACATGAAAATATCGGAAGTTTCGGAGGGGACCAAAATAATATTACGCTGTTCGGATGTTCCGCTGGTAAGTAAACATTTTTTTTATGTAAATAATTTTCAAATAACACTTTTCCAATATCTGGATGTAAAGTTTTCCATAGTTTGTGTCTGAAACAGATATGATACTGTCAGCAAAAGTTCCTTTTAAAAATTGGGTCATGGTGGGAGAGTTCAGCTATGGGCAGAAGGAGTTAAAATCCTTTCCGCAACAAATAGCCCCCCGACTTTCACTACTTTTATTTTTGGCTGAAAATAATTGGCGTGATCATTATAGCTTAACAAGAAAAATTGTTCAAAAAAGTCAGTGGAGCAATTATTTTGTGTTTTGAAAGTCTGAAAATTTATGTTTCTTCAGCAATTTTTCTTTTCAGGTGGTGCCAGTGTGCATTTCCACATGGCGAATGCGGAAAGTACCCCCTACTTCAAAAGGGGCATCGCAATCAGCGGAGTGCTGAACAAAGAATGGTGTTTGACATCTCGGGCCGAACAGAAGAAAAAAGTGACCAAACTTCTTAACAAACTGGGATGTCCAAAAAGTTCAACCAATGAACAAAAGAAACAGTTTTTGAAATCAGTCACAGCTGAACAAATTGTGAATTGTTATCCAACTGAACTTAGCTTGACTGGTTTGCAGTTTGGACCTGTAGATGTGTTTGAAAGTGATAATATATCACGTGACTTCATTTCCAAGAAACCGTTTCTGATTGGAATATGTGTAGATGAAGCTACTATGTTCGCAGATGTCATGTTTGTTAGAAAGGATACAACATCGCAAACAAAGTTAGTTCAAGGTTTTTGTCTTAAGGTATCAGCGTCTGTAAAATAATGTATTCTGCCAGATAACTCAGTTG